ATGAGAATATTCAATTTTGGCGCCTCATTGATTAAATTCAAGATGAGACAATAACGAACTCTAACTCCGCGCTTAGAAATTATGCAGCATACGTCGTCTACAAAAAACCTCATTCATATATATCGAACAGTTCAGCAGAAGTGATTTCGGAGGTTGTCTCTATATGGATACGAATAAATAATTTTGGAAAATTTCTAAACAAATAGCATTAAATCCATTTCCGCAAAATTAATTCTGTCACAGTCAAATTTCGTACCAACACAACCAAAATTTTTTTAACGATAAATAATTCTATGTAGTACACACTAAAAAATATCTGTAAGAATCTACACGATGATACCAATCAAACATGGATTTATATGACAAATCGTGTAAAGACGATAAAATATCGTGTAATTTCAAATAAATCAATGAATTGGCAAATACTATTACCCGATATATGCATCTGTCAAATGTTTGCGTCAACTTTGAAAGATTAAAAATTACACGATATTTTAATGTTTTACACGATTCGTCATATAAATCCCATTTTGATTGTTATTTTCGTGTAAATTCTTACAGATATTTTTTAGTGTGTACACACAGAAAAGAATCCCCGGAAATTTTGGGTGTTCGCCGTAAAATTTGACATTTATATATAAATTTCTATATACATTTTACCGGCAACACTTCAATTTTCCGGGCGATGACATATACTGTATTTATTCCCTAGGGAATTTCCAGCTGGAAATGTTTCAATTGTTTGCGAAAATAAAAAGAATTACATTGGTAATCCCGAACTTTTCCGTACCGTTGGCCTGCGTTGTCCGTAGGTACTTTTGATTATTTTTTTTGAATTTTCTTGAAATAAAGGCAGTGAAAATATAATAATAAAAATGAAGTGAAATAAAACGAATTACATACGTAATCCAAACTTTTCCGCTCCGCAGCAATTTAGTTTACCTCCCGCTAAATGTTCAACCAAAATTTCAATGGACCCTTTTTCATAGCATTTTTGACCTTAAAATATAACTATTTCGACCATTTTCCATACAAAAGTGTCATTTTCGAACAAAATTTCAAAAATTTCAAGAAATGTTGATTTCGGACCAAATTTATGGGCAAGTAGGTGTTCGGTTGTTTGAAGGCTCCCATTATTTTTGCAAAAAATATCAGTTTGCTTTGACCAAAACCCTAAAAAATGGCTTTCTGAGTGATTTTTCATATAAAAGGGTATTTTTCGAGGAAAATTTCAAGAAATGTCGATTTCAGGCCAAATTTATGGGAAAGTAGGTATTCGGTTGTTCCCAGACCCCCATTATTTTCACAAAATAATGTCAGTTTACCTTGACAAAAAATCCTGCAAAATGGTTTTTTAAGTGATTTTTCATATAAAAGTGTCATTTTTCAAGGGTTTTCAGGTCCTCAGTCGGAGGCTTATGGTACAACATAGGTAGGTCAGAATGAGCTCAAAATCAATCCGAAGCTTTGTCTCGACATGCCAAATCTTTTGGCTCTTACAGATCTAAATTATCTTGTCAACTTTTTGAGATATCCGGCGAACAAAAAGCTCGGACGCTGACGCGAACGACACCATACGCACATCGCTATTTTGCACATATTTCATAGTAAACAACAAGTTTTTGGGGGTAGATAGGTCTTGATCGATAGGATTTGATCCCATCTACATTGCCTAGTGTACAGATATGTGCTTTTTGAAGTTTGGCGTGACGTTATAGTGGTCCGAAAGAGGAGATGTCATGAAATTTTGGCTAGTAAAACCAATACTTTTCCTAACAAACAAGTTTGCGGAAAAGTAAAATCGGTCACTTTAACTAAAACTTTTTTTCCAAGAAAATTTCGACAAAAATTGAGGACAAAAAATCAAACTTCTGCAAATGCGATCAACATGAAACTTTCAGAATCTCTTTTTTTCTCCAAAAAATGAAGCCTCAGAAGCCAATCAGAATCGATTAACGGGTACCTCCCATACAAAATTGTCCAAAAATCGGTAATTTTAGTCAAAATTTTGTATGGGAGGTACCCGTAAATCGATCCCGATTGGTTTCAAACTTTCAGAATCTTATTTTTCTCCCAAAAAATGAAATCCCAGAAAGTTTGAAGCCAATCGGAGTCGATTTACGGGTACATCCCATACAAAAGTGTGAATTCCTTGAGGTTTTTCTTAGGGCAAGTACCCCAGGATTAAATCGAAAATGGCTCATCTTCGAACTCAAACTAAGTTCATTGGATACAAAACTTTTGGCATTTCCAGATTTTGATTATCTCAATTATTTTTTGAGTTATCGTGTTAACAAACAGCTACGACGACAACGACGGCACACGAACGGAGAAGTGTCTCAAAAAGTGGTTTTCTACGCGTTTCATGAGTTTTTATGATGATCTAAGCTAATTTTGCGAAAAAAGTTTTCGGGACCAATTCCTATACTTTCCCTTGACACGTTGTGTACGGAAAAGTAAAAACCATAGAAATGAACAAACACGAGATCTAGATTAGCTTCTAAATGAATTTTATTTTGTTATATTTGTTGTGGTTACAATTGATTAAGTTGGATGGCTTGTGATGTTGTCAAATATGATCCAATCCTAATGAATTAAAATTTCAATTTAAACTATAAAAATATACGGAAATATTAAATTTTAGTTACATTTCGTGTTCAGATAAATTATTATCAGAGTCATTTATATTTTGGTCGCAACGGATGGTTTGACAAAGGATATGAACTGATGCGTTTTATTTCTGCTAAGCCATAGCTACTTGTCGATGAATGGTTTTTAATCTCCAAGTAATTTGCTTCCTCCATGTAAATTGTTAGTTTGCATGCATCCTTCAGTTGACGTCTCTCTTTGTCCAGCTTTTGAAGTGTAATATTTTTGGTTCCTTCGAAGTCTTTTAACCTAGATTGTTTTACACAAATACATTTCAGTGTTGCTGAATAACGTGCAAATGGAATGAAGTCCCCAATGGAATACAAGTCTTTGCCGGATGTCACGTGCAATTCCTCAAGTTTATCCAGTTTTTGCGCCAAGATTTCAAAATGACGTTTCAGTAATGGATCTTCCTCATAATCATGAAACAACAACACTTTTAGATTCGGCAGAGAAATTAGACCATTAACTATTCGATCATTAATATCATCATAATCAATCCGGTCGATTTTGACGCTTTCCAGAAATGTTAGTGTGGCTTTGGACTGAGTAAAACTTTCATGTCATATATTGCTAAATGTAATCTTTTGATCTGTTGGTTCTTGTGAAGTGAATGTAAGTTTTTTAACAATCTTGAACTGAGTGTTCCTATCGATTTTAATACTAAATCATCGAAAATAAGCCCTGAATCAAGTAGCCAATTATCAACTGGTGCATGTGATGAAATAGTTTTTATATTTTGATGTCGCTTAAAGAAATCCTTCAGTTGTATAAATTTTGTTTCCACTGTATGATACATCCAATCAAATTGTTGGACTGTGGGATAATTTCCTAATAATTCTTCAACTTCCCCAAGAGGACAAAGATTTATGTACTCCAGATTCGTAAAAAACTGTGATAAATTGTCGGATAGTCTGTTTATATGAATCTCTCGAACGTTCCTTAGTTGGTTTTTCAAGTGCAAGTCATTCGAATCATAACACAAATTTGTTGAATAAATGTCCATACATTTTATGTTCGGATTAAGTATTGGACCAATCTCAGATACGTGTTCTATACCAGTTATTTCGATATTGCGGGCCAAGGAAGTAAAAGACTTATGATATTTATTTTGACTCCATAATTTATAATGCTTACTATTTCCGGACCGAATGTATCTGTAATATGCACATAATTGTCCATACGTTCTTTGATAATGTTCATTGGCCAGCAAGTATACACGTTTGCATGTTACTCTGAGCCTACACAAATCTTTTATCGACAACCAATCAAATATATTGTGAATGCATTCATCATTCAGTGAAGAAAATTCAATTTTTGATGCTTCTCTCCTCAAATGGAGAACTTCTGGATTCATATTTCCTCTTTTTAATTTACTCATCCCGTCCGATAATTACTTCTGATATTAACCTCTTCAAGATTTATTCTCTGTTTTAATTATAATGCACCAAAAATTTGACAAACAAACTGACAATGAACTGTAATAATTGAACTCTTTGATTATTCTCTGGAATAATTCTCCAAAAAATCAATCTCTCTTCGATACAATTCCAGAACGATCTCTCTTAAGATATAACGTACAGCAATACTAAAACAAACTTGTGTTAAGTTCAACGATTTGAATGTGACTGATTTGTGAACGCAGATTTGGTCTCTTTTATAGGACAAAACTTCACACTGATGTATTTTACATGTACAATTGTACATAAAATCAGGTAAAGCTCTAGCACTGGTGCATTGGTGATTACAAGTGACCGCCCCTTTTTAAATCGAAGTATATATATAGACAGAAGATGACCGATAGATAAGTTTACCTAGGAGTAAAAGAAATATTCGCTCAACTTCATATGCTACAGCCAGACAGACCGGATTATAGCCTTATTGGAAGACATAAACGACGTATTAAAATTAATCCTTGACATTGACTTTTCCTTGGCGATGCCATAGTACTAATGATGCTAGTTCAAATTCTATTTTGCTTGCAAAGAATGTTTGCAGCTGTGTCAAATAGTTTATCATGGTGATTAGTCGAATGTATGGGTGTTAGTTGGTAACTTGTCTCACGATGGTCTAAACCCAGCTCACGTTCCCTTGCATGGGTGAACAATCCAATGTTCGGTGAATTTTGCTTCACAATGATATGCGACCATGAAATCAGTTTACCAGAGACAGGATTAAAGGATTATTTTCTTGAAAATAGTTGCATTTTAATACGAAAAGTTTACAAAAAGTTGCGTTTTAACAGCTCAGAACATTGGATTATTTTAGAAAATGAAAAGCATTTTATCATCAATATTTCAGAGTATTTTTTCTCGAAAAAACCAAAACAAGATGAAACTTTTTTCGACACGAAAATCGCACACAGCGACTGATTCATTCTTTTCAACAACTATTCATTTCGCACAAAAATGGCTGATATTCATTGTATGTTTGACCGCATTGTTAATATTGCAAACTGCGTTTTGTGCCGATGTCGTCCAACACTTCTTTCAATTCTTCGTCTTTGAACCGACCTTCAAGTGATGGAATCAATGCTTTAGCTTCTTCTGGGACTTCAGGACAGAGATTACCAATTGCAGCTAGTTCGAATTTATGCAACTTCTTCTGTGTCAACAAACTGTGGAAGAAACGAAAATATGAATGCTTAGGAAATTGCCAATGTTTTTTGATTATCAAAAACTTAACCACTTTTAGTCAAATATTGATTCGTTCTATTTCAAGCCATGTTTGTATGCATATTTAACTCACCTTCGAACAGCCGTGATGGTTTCTTTGTTTTTGAACTTTCGGAAAATGTCAGTATACGTAAAAGTCTTCAAAAACACCTCGGAGAACTCTTGTTCCTCGTCAGCCAATTCGTTCTGTTTCTTGCGGTGGTCCAATAGCATGTGTACTTCACTGACTAGCAACGTTTCCGCATTTTGGAACTCTGAAATAAGACAATTTGTGCGGAAAGTAGAAGAAAAATGTGAGTTTGTATAGGCAATTGTTACATCTCATTTCGTTAAAAGAGAATTGAACATGAACGTGTTTTTTTTTCATTATTCGGCCATTGATTCGGACAATAAATTTTCCAGAAAAAAAATGTCAGAACAAAGGAATCGAAATATTGTCTAATCCAATAATGCCGATCAATTTTCGTTCTTTTAAACAAAAGAATCTGCTGTTAATTGAATTTTGGTTGACGTTTATCAAAAACACCTCTAGTATTGAAGAACAAAGGCAAACAATTCCATGAAAATGACAGCAACAACGACGACCACGACAGTCAAAATTACCAAGAGCTCATTTTCTATCGAAACATTAGAAAAAAAATCCTAATTTTACCTTTCGGGAACCGCAAATCAGCCGCATCTTCTTCGAAAGTTTCAATGGGCACATGAGACATGGTTCGATTTTTACAACAATCAATTTTTTGATAATTTTTTAGTCGAAAATCAGGGAGTTTTGCTTGAGCTAAACTATAGAGCACAAAAACATGAACACAAATGAGAAGCAAATGACATTTGACATACAGTGCCACCTGATGACTGTTCCTGAACATTCAGAAGGGTTGTATTAGATTTTACAAAAAAAAATGTTGAATTTGCATTTATTTATCAATTTTTTCGTTTATTTGTTGCCAAAAATATCGTGAACATTCATTTGAAATGTGCGGTTCTCTTGAATTGTGGACACAATGAATCTTGGATGCGGAAACAATCGCGTACAATTTTCCATTTGTCGTCTTGAGCCGAGATCACAAATGTTTGTTGAAATTGCTTGAGTGGATTGTTCAAAACTCGAAGCGATCCAGACACCAGAATCAACAACGTCTTTTGATTGGATGTGGCCTCATCAATGATTGGTTGAACGTCACAAACCGAAGCCGTGTGTTCAGTTGCTGGCAGACCTTGAAAGAATTCCTGAATATTTTCCTTGCCATTGATGCCATTTCCATTCCACGCAGCGATCGCATTGTCCATATACAAACGGGAGATTTGCTATCGAACGGACGCAAAATGTTGAGATTAATTAAAATAGATTTTTTGTATGTGGACGAATTTTTTATGTCATTTTACATTGTTTTTTTATGTGAATCTTCCATTGAATCAACTCAATGAATCAAAATGTTGCTTACATGTCGCTTGTGATCCACACTTTGATAGTACAGCTGGATGAATTCTTCGGCTGTCTTTGTAGACTCCGTTAATTCGAATCGAAGCTCCTAAATGATGAACAAAATATCAAAATGAATAATTTTTCATGGATATTCTTGGTTTTGTAATACTAACAGCACTCATTTTTAGCTACAACTAGTTGGATCAGGAGCAAAAACGTTGAAATTGGTTTATCAAATAAAGTTCAAGTTTCGAAAAACAGCGCACCACATAGATTCTACTGTGTATATTGAATACTAAGCACGTAGCTGTCAGACTCGTGTGGAAATAATGTCGAAATCAGAGTGCCACATAGATGTGTTAGTGGTCAACAATGTTTGTCATTCACAATAGCACACACACACACAGAGAGAGAGAGAGAGAGAGAGAGACACACACTCTTCCTTATAGTCGGATGTGCGCATGTTGCGTTCACTAATTCGGTTTTGTGAATCAACAATGATAATCTGATCGAACTAAAAGTTGAATTGTATGGATTTAGAGTCCATAGGAGACTTCCATGCGGGAATTGCCTTGAAAACACAATAAATGCTATGCCATAAGTAAACTTTTTATTGCCTTTGCTCAATATAGCTAACAAATTGGCGTCTAAACTTTAACGACCACGTCTTGAATATGAAAAGTGTGGACTTTGACATTGAACGCACTTCTAAAGTTTGACGTATGAATACAACATAACTGGAGTTGTTTGGCAAACAAGCGAAGAACACTGAAAACTAAACAGGAACTGTTCGTGAAAATTAAACAGGAGCATTTTATTGCGGAAAATTCCACTTTCTTTGCGTTAATTCATTCATTTTTGGAATCAGATTAGTTTTTATTTTGGTTGAAATTCCAATAGCGACAATCACTAAACGAATAAAGATCAAAGAGCACATTGGAACAGCGAAATTGTCAAAGGTAAATATTTCTTGAGCACAACATTCTCTATGAGAATTTCACAACATCAACAAAGGTTCTTATTTTGTGAAAATTTCAACACCACTCTCATTGTTCCATTCTTTGCAAACTATATGAAGGGATTCATTATTATATTGGAAATACTTGCCAAAAGAGAGCTTATTGCTATTGCGAAATCCATACAAAATTGATTTAACATAATTGTCTTCTGTTTCCATAGATAAATACATCCAAAATCATCCCAACTTGTTTTGACAATACACAAAGGCCGAGAATCACATCGCCACAATGTCGAAAGTTAAATTCACCAGTCGGACTGTGGAATCAGCTGTAAAAACCTTATATTTGGATGAGATGACGGCTGATGTTCATTTCGTATTCGAATCCAGTGGACAATCCGATCGTGTTCCAGCACACAAGATTCTCTTGATTGCCGCAAGCAAAGTCTTCCGAGCGATGTTCAATGGGCAGTGGAAAGAGAAAGACGAAGTGCCAATCCCGTATGTGCTTGCCGCCGATTTCAAAACGTTCTTACAGTATTTCTACTTGAGGGAAGTTGAACTGTCCATGGAGAATGTGGAAGGTGTCATGAGCCTCAGTCATCAGTACGATATCGGTGCGTGTTTCAATGATTGTACAACACTCTTGGAACGCAGCCTCACTGTCGACAATGTTTGTTGGATCTATTGGCGCGCCATATTCTTTGGACACGAAGAATTGAAGACTGAATGTGAGATATTCATTAGTCTCAACATGGAAGGCGTCCTCAAGTCAAGCGGATTTTTAGGATGCAACCGAGAAATATTGAGCCACATTCTACGACTCGATGAAATGGATTGCTCAGAAACCAGTGTGTTCAACGCATGCATGAAGTGGGTCAAGACCGCCAGCGGGCAAAATGAAATAAGTAAAGAATTGGTTCAAAATCATCTCGGAAATTTGTTCTACGATATTCGCTTTGGATCGATGACAATGCAAGAGTTCAACGCCATTTACACGGCACATGGATGTTTATTCACCGACAAAGAGCAACAGGGCATCACAAAACTGATCAAATCGAAGATAATGCAATGGGAGTCGTTCAATGGAACTCGTCGTGTGAGCCCATGGGAGAAGTCGGATGAATTTGATTGTAATGGAGGATTGGATTTAAAATATGACGATGGACAAATCGAAATCATGAAGTTTTCAACAAACGAAACTCTACTGCTGAATGCGATCGTTTGTTCTGATGCAAACTACAGACGAGATGATTCATGTTCATGGTCAGAAGACGACGAATTTGAAAATGTTGTAAGTAAACTCACTGTCTTTGAAATTGATCCACTTGGTCCTGATGAAGCGAAGCCTCGCGTACTTTATGTCAATGAAAATGTGGAACATCCAATCGATGGTGATTGTTTTGACTATGATGACGACGAGGACGACTCCGAAGATAGCTACGAAGACAACAACGTAATACGATTCCCAAAGCCACTCATCATCAAACGTGGTTTCAAGTACGAAATTCGTTTGAAACCAGGAAGGGAAATAATTGCTCATACATATTTGTCATCCGCTGAAGTCAAAATGAGACGCAACATCACGTTGAAGTTTGAAGAAGGCACCGTTTTGAAGAAAAGCCTCTTTTCTGGAAAACTGATTTCGAAACTCAAATTTGCAACAATTCAACGATGATGCTATGATTCATCATAAGGACAAACAGGCTTCCCGTTAAATTTCAGTGAAGTCACCAATTGAAATATACATAATTTTCAAACCTCGATAAAATTGTGGAATTCTGAATATTATCATATTATCAATGTAACGCCAATTCTGATTCATCTAAAAAATGTTCATACACATACATAAATTTCAATGTTTGAAACAATTCCAGATTTCACAGACTTTTTATGTCATATTTATTCTTAGAATATTTTTTAAGAAAAAACAATAAATGAACGAATAAGAAGGCAATAAACTCCTATTGAATTGAGGTCATTTCATTAGAAGAAAAAATCGTCGCCACTGCAAAAAGGATGGTTACGGAAGTACTTCTTTAATTTGCTAGTCAATTTTGGGGTTATCTTTAGTTTTTCAGCCACAACAAAGTTGAGCTGACGATGGAAAGTATCATCGAGACTATCAAATTAATTCGAATGCACAAAATGAGATGCACGTTTTTATGAAATTCAAATATGTTGCAGACGTGTGGCGGCTGTTGAACGTCAAAGTCATTTGAGGCGATGCGAGCGCCCCCAATTTCAAAGGGCACATCAATGTAATTTAACATTTCAAATCGGAACTACACAGCGCGCCAATTCGAAATATAGGAAAATATAGTGTCAACAGCCGCACCATGGTTGCAGCAAACAATAAAAAAAAGTCATCATCCGTTGGTACATTGAACGCGCTCACGTAAAATGACGTCTGTAGTCAAATGACATCATTCATAGAAGCTGGGTCATTCTAAACCTTTCTACATTGCAGCCAGAGAAAAGGAAATAAAAATCTTTTTTTTTTTATAAAATCATCTACTACCTAAGCTTTTTTTATAAATATTTGCGGTTATATCACAATCCAAACTGTTGTTTATCAGTGATCATTGTTTTTGAGTCGAAATTTCCAACAAAAGAAACGGAGGTAAAACTTGTTGAAAAAGTCCCAGATTTTACTCTCTTCGTTGATCCATCGCCTTGGATTGCAGGACAGTATTTCCAAATTTATGTTTGATAGCTCGGTAATTTGCTTGTAACTTGATATTTTTCACAGAATTTCTCCACGATTCTGATAGCAACTTCTCCTAACCTCAAATCGAAGTGGTGCAATTTCACAAGTCACGTTCGAAGGTAAGACAATTGAAATTCGTTGTGGGTTTTGCTTTGGCTTCGGCATTGCCAAATGTTTTCATTTCTGCACATGAATTCTGTTCGAATCGTCCAACTTATTTTTGTTTAATTGCAGCCGACAAATAGTTCATGATGTCGTACAGTAAATATATCAATCAATCCTTCAATTCGGCCTTGAAGAGCTTGTATCTGGACGAGGAGACGTCTGACGTAAATTTTGTCTTTGAATTGAACGATGACGTTTGTGTACGTGTTCCAGCACACAAAAATTTACTCACTGCAGCTAGTAAAGTTTTTCATTCAATGTTTTATGGACCATTGAATGAAAAAGGTGACGTTAAAATCACGGATGCTTCAGTGGCCGATTTTAAAAGTTTTCTGCAGTTCTTCTACTTTGATGTGGTCGAAATGAGCATGGAAAATATTACAAAAATTATGTATCTCGGTGAAAAGTACGATGTCACTGGGTGTTTGATCGCGTGTACTAGTTTCTTGTCCGACAATCTCACAGTTCAAAGCGTGTGTTTGGCGTATGGACTCGCGATTCTCTACAATCAAAAGGAAGTGGAGCGTTTGTGTGAAATTTACATTGGCATCAATGCACAGACCATCTTCAAGTCAAGTGGTTTCTTGACGTGTAATAAAGAGGTGCTAGGTCGAATTCTAAAACTCGAATCGTTGTCGTGTTCAGAAGTTGAGGTATTCCAAGCCTGCCTAACATGGGTTAAGGCGGCCAGTCAGCAAGAAAAATTGAGCAAGGAATTAGTTGGAACTCATCTGGGCGATGTGATGATGCATGATATTCGTTTTGAATTGATAACAAAGGATGAATTTGATGCTACCCATTCAACATTTGATGCTTGGTTTGCGGCTGATGAATACGAAAACATCATCAAAATGCTCACTTCATCGGATCGACCAATCGAACGTTATGTGTCTGTGCGAGAAAGTGATTGGCGTGAAGCAAAGGTGCATGAGTGCAAACGATTTGTCGAGTACACCATAAGATCAAAGCACGCATACGAAATGGAAGAAACAGAAAAAACATCATTCACAACTGATGGTACCATTCTATTGAGTGGATTCGTTTGTGCTGAAGTTCAGTTTCTTTGCAAGTACAATTTTTTGGATAACCTACCCGAAGATCTGCCATGTACACTGACAATCGCCGAAAGCCGTACTGCAAACAATGAAGCTGAAATGGAGGATTGTCGTACTCTTTATGTTGACGAAAACTGCAAACTGAACGAAAGAGGAGATACTGTTGTTTCTCTGTCCAGGCCGGTTATCATTCGAAGCGGATTCAAGTACCAAATTCGCATTAAGAATATGGTCGATAGATGGTGTTGGGACCATCCATTTTGTACACATCTTGTATACCATAGTACCGAAGAGTTGATCGAAAAGCTTGGTATCACTGTGCAATTTCACAATGACCGCATTTTTGATAACAAAAAGAGAGGTCTTATACACGAGCTACATTCCCGCAAAGCCTGATTTATGATACATGACCGTCAAAACCATACAAACATGTCAAAACAATTTAAAACATCGACAAACATTTTCATTTATTTCATTTTGATTTTTCAATAGGTTTTCTTTGATATTATGAAGATTCAAGTTAGAAAGTTGGTTGGGATTTTCTCTAGATTGAATCTGCTAGAAGTGCCAAGTCAGCACCATAAAATATATAATATGGAATGAATAAAGCTAGTTATAAAGACGTTTGATACTAATTTTTGTGTTTGAACTTCAAAAAATCGGCTTATTTGACTTTTATTGCTAGGCAATCGTTATAATTCATTATACAAATTATTTGATCGATATGACAGTTGGATTCTATGGATTATGCTCCATAATTTATGTTACTTCCCATGGTTTAGAAGAACGTGAGGGATGCTGAAGAGATATTATTGAACTTTGTTCCATAGGTAATCTTTTGGTTGTTTTTGTTCAATAAAGCTCACGAATTGGTGCTCAAACTTCAACGACAGCGTCTTGACTTTCCAACGTATGGACGTGAAGATTGAACGCATCCACGCATTTGACACATAAACACAACACATCTAGAATTGTTTAGCAAACAAGTGGAGAACACAGTCCGTACAAACTAAACAGGAGCATATTTTGCGTAATATTCCTGTTTTCTTGCGTTAATTTGAAACCATTTCGGCAATTAGTTCGATCTTCAGATTCTTTGAAAATCCAATAACGATTAAAAACCAAGGAGCAACGAATTTGTCAAGGGTAAATATTTTTTAGGCATAATATTTTTCTATTGTGAGAATTACACAGCATAAAATCCCAACTTCACTCTCATTGTTCCATTCTTCGTCAACTATATGGAGGGACTCATTATTATATAAAAGATACTTGCCAAAAGAGAGCTTATTGCTATTGCGACATCCATACAAAATTGATTTAGCACAATTGTTTCCCGTTTCCATAGATACATCTAAAATCACCCCAACCTGGCTTGATAATACGCAAAGTTCAAGAATCACACCGCCACAATGTCAAAAGTAAAATTCACCAGTCAGACAGTGGAATCAGGTGTTAAAACCCTTTACTTGGATGAAGAGACGGCTGATGTTCATTTCGTATTCGAATATAATGGTCAATCCGATCGTGTTCCAGCACACAAGACTCTCTTGATTGCCGCCAGCAAAGTCTTCCGAGCGATGTTCAATGGGCAGTGGAAAGAGAAAGACGAAGTGCCGATCCCTGATGTGCTTGCCGCCGATTTCGAAACTTTCTTACAGTATTTCTACTTGAGCGAAGTTGAACTGTCAATGGAGAGTGTGGAAGGCGTCATGAGCCTCAGTCATCAGTACGATATCGGTGCATGTTTCAATGACTGTGCAACACTCTTGGAACGCAGTTCCACTGCCGACAATGCTTGTTGGACCTATGGGCGTGCGATATTCTACGAACACGAAGAACTGAAGACTGAATGTGAGATATTCATTAGTCTCTACACAGAAGACGTCCTCAAGTCAAGCAGTTTTCCCGAATGTGACCGGGAAATATTGAGCCACATTCTACGTCTTGATTCAATGGATTGCTCAGAAGCCTGTGTGTTCAACGCCTGCGTGGAATGGGTCAAGACCGCCAGCGGACAGGATGAAATAAGTAAAGAATTGATTCAAAATCATCTCGGAAATTTGTTCTACGATATTCGCTTTGGATCGATGACAATGCAAGAGTTCAACGCCATTTACACAGCACATGGATATTTATTCACCGACAAAGAGCAACAGGGCATCACAAAACTGATCAAAGCGAAGAAAACGCGATGGGAGTTGTTCAATGGAACTCGTCGTGTGAGCCCATGGGAGAAGTCGGATGAATTTGAATCTAATGGAGGACTGGTTATAAAATATGACGATGGACAAATCGAAATCATGAAGTTCTCAACCAACAAAACTCTACTGCTGAATGCGGTCGTTGTTTCTGATGCAAGATACAGACGAGATGACTCACGTTACGACGACTATGATTATGACCGTGTCACAAGCAAACTCACTGTCTTTGAAATCGATCCACTTGGTCCTGATAAAGCGAAGCCTCGCGTACTTTATGTCAATGAAAATGTGAAACATCCAAATGAATGGTATGACGATTACTTTGAGGACGAGGACGAGGACGAGGACGAATACGACGAAAGGAACGTTATACGATTCCCGAAGCCACTCATCATCAAACTTGGTTTCAAGTACGAAATTCGTTTGAAACCAGAAGGGGAAATACGTGCCAATACATATACTGTTCTGTCTGATGAGGTAAAGATGGAACCCGACATCACGCTGAACTTTGACGAAGGTACCATTTTGGACGGTGATGCTGGAAGACTGATTTCGGAACTCAAATTCGCAGCAGTTTAACGATGATGCAATAAATCATCATAAGGACAAATGGGCTTCTCGTTAGATCTCTGTGAAGTCACCAATCAAAATCTTCGGAAATCATAAATAACTCAAAGTTAAGAAATTCATAATATATATGGAAGAATTGAAAAATGGGAACAATAAATATTTTTATTGTTTTATTCAGAAAAAATCGCCTATGCTGCAATAGAATTGGATTGGTTAAGGGAGTGTTTTAAATCGCTAATTGGCGAATAATCATTCAAAAGTTTTCTTCTTTAATTTTTCAGCCACGATGAAGTTGAACTGACGAAAGAAGTTATCGCCAAGACTATCAAATTAATTCGAATGCACAAAATGTGATACTTTTTATGAAATTCAAATATGTTAAAGCAAACAATAGAAAAGTCATCACCAGATGATACATTGAACGCACTCACAAAAATTGACGTGCATATGGTAGGCAAATGACATCATTCATAGAATCTAACTCAGTCTGATCATTTTTGCGTTGTGGCCAGAGAAAAACAAATAAAAATCTTTTTTCAAGAAAATCATCTACCAAAGCTTTTTACATCAATAATTCCGATTAAATAACGCAATCGACGCTATTTCTAACGTTGTTTTTGAGCCGAAAATTTCGACAGAAGAAAAAAGTTATACTTTCACAAATCGAAAGTAATGCAAGCAAAACTAGAAAAAGTGCAACCTTTTACTTTCTTCATTGAATCATCACCTCTCGAAACACTAAAGATGATTTCCATTTTGGAGATTCCAAATCAAAGATAGCTTGATAAATTGTGTTTGTATAATATTTTTCCAGAATTTCTTCAGGATTCCCATGTGAACATTTCCTAACCTCAAATCGAAGTTGCGCTATTTCACAAGTCACGTTTGAAGGTAAGACAATTGAATTTATTTTTGGCTTTGACTTTTAGAAACGCTTCTAATTCTTCGTCTAAGCTTCCCTTCAATTCAATAAATATCTGCCAAGAGAAGAAAGTTACACATTGAAATTCAACACTTTTGTTTACTGTTTCCATAGATAAACACATCCAAAATCATCCCAACTTGTTTTGACAATACACAAAGGTCATGGATCACATCGCCACAATGTCGAAAATCAAATTCACCAGTCGGACTCTGGAATCAGCTGTAAAAACCCTATATTTGGATGAGATGACGGCTGATGTGCATTTCGTATTCGAATCCAATGGACAATCCGACCTTATTCCAGCGCATAAATTTATTCTTATGGCTGCAAGCAAAGTCTTCCGAGCGATGTTCAATGGGCAGTGGAAAGATAAAGACGAAGTGCCGATCCCAGATGTGCTTGCCGCCGATTTCAAAACGTTCTTGCAGTATTTCTACTTGAGCGAAGTTGAACTGTCAATGGAGAATGTGGAAGGCGTCATGAGCCTCAGTCATCAGTACGACATCGACGCATGTTTCAATGACTGTGCAACACTCTTGGAACGCAATCTCACTGTCGACAATGCTTGTTGGACCTATGAACGCGCGATATTTTACGAGCATAAAGAATTGAAGACTGAATGTGAGACATTCATTAGTCTCAATACGAAAGACGTCCTCAAGTCAAGCGGATTCTTAAAATGCGACCGAGAGATATTGAGCCACATTCTACGTCTCGATTCAATGGATTCCTTAGAAGCCTGTGTTTTCAACGCCTGCATGGAATGGGTTAAGACCGCCAGCGGAGGAAATGAAATAAGCAAAGTTTTGGTTCAAAATCATCTGGGAAATGTATTCTACGATATTCGCTTCGGATCGATGACAATGCAAGAGTTCAACGCCATTTACACAGCACATGGATATTTATTCTCCGCTGATGAACAAAATGGGATCACAAAAATGATCAAATCGAAGAAAACGCAATGGAAGTCGTTCAATGGAACTCGTCGTGTGAGTCCATGGGAAAAGTCTGATGAATTTGATTGTAATGGAGGGCGGGATTTAAAATGTGACGATGGACAATTCGAAATCATGAAATTCTCAACCAACAAAACTCTACTGCTGAATGCAATCGTTTGTTCTGATGCAAACTACAAAGGTGATGATTCACGTTCATTGCCAGAGGACGATGACTTTGACAACGTTATAAGTAAACTCACTATCTTTGAAATCGACCCACTTATTCCTGATGAAGCGGAGCCTCGCGTACTTTATGTCAATGAAAATGTGGAACATCCAAGCCATGGCGAACGTTCTGACGAGGATGAGGATGTGGATGAGTTTTGGGACGATTACGAGGACGAGGATGAGGACGAGGATGAGGACGAGGACGGCTACGAAGATAACTATGACAACAGCGCAATACGATTCCCGAAGCCACTCATCATAAAATGCGGTTTCAAGTACGAAATTCGTTTGAAACCAAAAAAGCAAATAATTGCCGATACATATACTGTTTCATCGATCGAAGTAAAAATGAGAACCGGTATTACGCTGAAGTTTGACGAAGGGACCGCTCTGAAGCGCAATTTTCACGGAAAACTGATTTCGAAACTCAGATTCGCAACAGTAGGTGGTAAAAAAGCTTGGTATCACTTTACATGACCGCGTTTTTGATGACAAAAAGAGAGGTCTCATCCACGAGCTACATTTTTGCAAATCCTACACGACCGTCAACATTCAAACGTGTCAGAACAATTCAAAACATCGACAAAAATTTTCATTTTGATTTTTCAATAGGTTTTCCTTGCTATTATGATGATTCAAGTTAGAAAGTTGGTTGGGATTTTCTCTAGATTGAATCTGCTAGCAGTGCCAAGTCAGCACCATAAAATATATAATATGGAATGAATAAAGCTAAGAATAAAGACGTTTGATACTAATTTTTGTGTTTGAACTGCCAAACATCGGTTTGTTTGACTTTTATTGCAAGGCAATCGTTATAATTCATTATAAAAATTATTTGATCGATGTGACAGTTGGATTCTATGGATTATGCTCCATAATTTATGGAGTTACTTCCTATGGTTTAGAAGAACGTGAGGGATGCTGAAGAGATATCATTGAACTTTGTTCCATGTTCTTTCTTTTGGTGGTTTTTGTTCAATATAGCTCACGAATTGGCGCTCAAAATTCAACGACAGCGTCTTGACTCTCCAATGTATGGACCTGAAGATTGAACGCATCCACGAAGTTTGACACATAAACACAACACATCTAGAATTGTTTAGCAAACAAGCGTAGATCACAGTCCTTGCAAACTAAACAGGAGCATTTTTTGCGGAAATTTCACATTTTTTGCGTTAATTTGAATCTCTTTTGGCAATTGGCTTGATCTTCATATTCGTTGAAAATCCAATAACGATTACAAATCAAACAGCAACGAATTTGTCAGGGGTAAATATTTTTCGAGCACAATATTTTTCTATTGTGAGAATTACACAGCATAAAATCCCAACCTCACTCTCATTGTTCCATTTTTCGTCAACTATATGACGGGACTCATTATAATATTTAAGATACACATCTGTACTTGCCAAAAGAGAGCTTATTGCTATTGCGACATCCATACAAAATTGATTTAGCACAATTGTTTCCTGTTTCCATAGATACATCTAAAATCACCCCAACCTGGCTTGACAATACGCAAAGTTCAAGAATCACACCGCCACAATGTCAAAAGTAAAATTCACCAGTCAGACAGTGGAATCAGGTGTTAAAACCCTTTACTTGGATGAAGAGACGACTGATGTGCATTTCGTATTCGAATATAATGGTCAATCCGATCGTGTTCCAGCACACAAGACTCTCTTGATTGCCGCCAGCAAAGTCTTCCGAGCGATGTTCAATGGGCAGTGGAAAGAGAAAGACGAAGTGCCGATCCCTGATGTGCTTGCCGCCGATTTCAAAACGTTCTTACAATATTTCTACTTGAGCGAAGTTGAACTGTCAATGGAGAGTGTGGAAAGTGTCATGAGCCTCAGTCATCAGTACGATATCGGTGCATGTTTCAATGACTGTGCAACACTCTTGGAACGCAGTTCCACTGCCGACAATGTTTGTTGGACCTATGGACGTGCGATATTCTACGAACACGAAGAACTGAAGACTGAATGTGAGATATTCATTAGTCTGAACACGGAAGACGTCCTCAAATCAAGCGGTTTTCTCGAATGCGACCGAGAGACATTGAGTATGATTTTACGTCTCAACGCAATGTCTTGTTCAGAAACTTGTGTGTTCAACGCATGCATGAAATGGGTCAAGACAGCTGCCGAACAAGATGAAATAAGCAAAGAATTGGTTCAAAATTGTCTCGGCAATCTGTTGTACGATATTCGCTTCGGATCGATGACAATGCAAGAGTTCAACGCCATTTACACAGCACATGGATATTTATTCACCGACAAAGAGCAACAGGGCATCACAAAACTGATCAAATCGAAGAAAACGCAATGGGAGTTGTTCAAAGGAACTCATCGTGTGAACCCATGGAAGAAAACGAGTGTGCTTGAATGTGGTGAACGATCAGGTTCAAAATATGGTGTTGGTAAAATCGAAATCATAAAGTTCTCAACCACCAAAACTCTACTGCTGAATGCAATCGCTTGTTCTGATGCGTACTACAGACGAGATGATTCACCTTCATGGTCAGAATACGACGACTATTATTATGACTGTGTCACAAGCAAACTCACTGTCCTTGAAATCGATCCACTTGATTGTGATGAAGTTAAGCCTCGCGTACTTGTCAACAAAAACGTAGAGCATCCAATGTGTGAGGAACGTTATTGCGAAGACGATGACGATGAATATGGCGACGACAACAGCGTAGTACGATTCTCAAAGCCAATCATCATCAAACGTGGTTTCAAGTACGAAATTCGTTTGAAACCAGATCAAGAGATACGAGCTGATGTATATACTGTTTCATCCACTAAGGTGAAACTTAATCCCGACATCATGCTGACGTTTGGCAGAGGAACCGTTTTGAAGAGCTGGCCCAATGAAAATCTGATCTCGGCACTCAAATTCGCAGCAGTTTAACGGTGGTTCAATGATTCATCACAAGGACAAATGGGCTTCCCGATAGATCTCCGTGAAGTCACCAATTAAAATGTTCGGAAATCATAACTAACCTTATGTTAAGAAATTCATCATACTAACTCAGATTTTGCTTCATCTAAAGATATCACGTGTAACCACAAACATTAAAATGTAACTCTTCATATTTCTTCTGGAAATATTGTGGAAGAATTGAAAAATGGGAACAATTAATAAATAATAAAAAGTCATTTTCTGCTAAAATAAAGTCATTTTATTCAGAAAAAAATTGTCTATCTACAACCAAATTGGATTGGTTACGGGAGTACTTCAAATGCGGCATTGCTTTTATGCGCTGAACATTCAAAAGTTTTATTTAGTTTTTCATCTACGATAAAGTTGACCTGACGAAAAACATAGTCGAGACTATCAAATAAAATCAAATGCACAAAATGAGATACACGTTTTACAAATTTCAAATATGTTCCAGCAAACAACAGAAAAGTCATCATCCGATGGTACATTGAACGCACTCACAAAAAATGACGTCTGTAGTCAAATGACATCATTCGAAATTGCAAGCTCATTCTAAGCGCATTTGTATTGCAGACGGAGAGAAGTAACATCAAACCAGTTTTGTGCAATCATTGAATCTGAGCTGAAAATTTCAACCGAAGAAAAAAAGCCATAAAAAAGGTAAAACGAATCCATTTTCATATTGAATCATCCAAAAAAAATTCAATAATTTAAAGAAAAGTTTGAAAACTTCATTAGATTACATTGTATAATGTCTTTGCAGATTTTATTCACATTTTTCACATCAACTTTCCCTAACCTCAAATCGAAGTTGTGCTATTTCACAAGTCACGTTCTAAGGTAAGACAATTGAATTTGTTTTTGGCTTTGACTTTAACAAACGCTTCTATTTCTTCGTCTAAGCTTCCCTTCAATTTAATAAATATCTGCCAAGAGAAGAATATTACACATTGAAATTCGAACAGATTTGATTCAATACTTTTGTTTACTGTTTCCATAGATAAACACATCCAAAATCACCCCAACCTGACTTGACTAATCACAAAGGCCGAGAATCACATCGTCACAATGTCGAAAGTTAAATTCACTAGTCGGACTTTGGAATCAGCTGCAAAAACCTTATATTTGGATGAGAAGACGGCTGATGTTCATTTTGTCTTCGAATCCAATTCACAATCCGACCGTGTTCCAGCCCACAAAAATCTCTTAATGGCCGCAAGCAAAGCTTTACGAAAAATGTTCAATGGACAGTGGAAAGATAAAGACGAAGTGCCGATCCCATATGTGCTTACCGCCGATTTCAAAATGTTTCTACAATATTTCTACTTGGTCGAAGTTGAGCTGTCCATGGAGAATGTGGAAGGTGTCATGAGCCTCAGCCATCAGTACGATATCGACGCATGTTTAAATGATTGTGCAACACTCTTGGAACACAGTCTCACTGTCGACAATGCTTGTTGGACTTACAGACTCGCATTGTTGTACGAACACGAAAAATTGAAGGCTGAATGTGAGACATTCATTAGTCTGAACACGGAAGACGTCCTCAAATCAAGCGGATTTTTGGAATGTGACCAAGAGACATTGAGCCATATTTTACGTATCGATTCAATGAATTGCTCAGAAGTCTGTGTGTTCAATGCATGCATGAAGTGGTCCGAGGAAGCCGCAAAACAAGATGATGAAAGCGAGGAATTTGTTCAAAATCCGCTCGGTAATCTGTTGTACGATATTCGCTACGGATCGATGACATTGCAAGAGTTCAACGCCATTTGCACAGTACATGGGTATTTATTCACCGACGAAGAGCAACGGGGCATCATCAAACTGATCAAATCAAAGAAAACACAATGGAAGTTGTTCAAAGGAACTCCTCGTGTGAACCCATGGAAGAAGTCAGATGAACACAAATGCGTTGGAGGATCGCGTTCAAAATGTGGCGCTGAACAAATCGAAATCATGAAGTTCTCAACCAACGAGACTCTACTGCTGAATGCAATCGTTTGTTCCGATGCGTACTACAAAGGTGATGGTTCACGTTCACGGTCAGAATACGAAGACTTTGAAAACGTCACAAGTAAACTCACTGTCTTTGAAATCGATCCACTTGGTCCTGATGAAGTGGAACCCCGCGTACTTTATGTCAATGAAAAATTGGAACTTCCAATCAATGGCAAACGTTATGATGAGGATGAAAATGGCGACGACAATAGCGTAATGCGATTCCCAAAACCGATCATTATCAAGCATGGATTCAAATATGAAATTCATTTGAAACCAGATGAAGAGATACGAGCTGATGCATATACTGTTTCATCCACTGAAGTAAAAATAAAAGGCGGCATCAAGCTGAAGTTTGATGAAGGTATCGCTTTGAACAGTGAATTTGGTCGTGGAAAAAAACTGATTTCAGCACTCAAATTCGCGGTAGTTTAACGATGATGCAATAAATCATCATAAAGACAAATTGGTTTCCCAAGTAGTTCTTTTTAAAGTCATCAATCGAAAAAAATCTGAATATATTTTCATGCTAACGCCAATTCTGATTCATCTAAAAAATGTCCATATATAAATTTCAATGTTTGAAACAATTCCAGATTCCACAATTTTTTTCACAATATGTCATTCTTCTCGAACTATTTTGTCAGAATCGAAAAATATAAATAATAAAGAAACGAATAAGAAGGCAATAAACTCTTGGGGCCATTTCATTTAAAGAAAAAAATCATTGACTCTGTACTGCAAAAAGGATGGTTGCGATGAAATACTTTGATTTACTGGGTAATTTTGCGGTTATCTTCAGTTTTTCAGCCACAGCAAAGTTGAACTGACGATGGACAGTTTCATATCGTCGAGACAATCAAATTAGTTCGACAATCAAATTAGTAGAATACTTTTTATGAAATTCAAATATGTTGCAGCAAACAATAGAAAATTCATCACCAGATGATACATTGAACGCACTCACAAAAATTGGCGTGTGTGTATACGGTAGGCAAATGACATCATGCATAGAATCTAACTCAGTCTGATCATTTTTGCGTTGTAGCCAGAAAAAAACAAATAAAAATCTTTTTTCAAGAAAATCATCTACCTAAGCTTTTTACATCAATAATTCCGATTAAATAACGCAATCCACGCTATTGCTGATCAGTGGTCATTGTTTTTGGGCCGAAAATTTCGACAGAAGAAAAAAGTTATACTTTCACAAATCAAAGGTAATGCAAACTTAACTAGAAAAAGTGCAACATTTTATTTCCTTCATTGAATCATCACCTCTCGAAACACTAAAAATTATTTCCAACTAGCTGCCTTCGCTCGGCTTCGGCGGCTAGACTTTTTACTTTTCCGTACACAACGTGTCAAGAGAAAGTATAGGAATTGGTCCCGAAAACTTTTTTTCGCAAAATTAGCTTAGATCATCTCATGAAACGCGCACAAACTTTTTGTGACACTTTTCCTTTCGTGTGCCGTCGTCGTCGTAGCTGTTTGTTAACACGATAACGCAAAAAATAATTGAGATAATCAAAATCTGAAAATGCCAAAAGTTTTGTATCCGAAAAATTTAGTTTAAGTTCGAAGATGAGCCATTTTCGATTTGATCCTGGGGTACTTGTCCAAAGGAAAACCTCAAAAAATTGACACTTTTGTATGGGAGGTACCCGTAAATCGACCTCGATCAGCTTCAAACTTTCTGAGGTTTCATTTTTTGGAGAAAAAATAAGATTCTTTCATGTAGATCGCATTTGCAGAAGTTCAATTTTTTGTCTTCAATTTTTGTCGACATTTTCTTGGAAAAAATTGAAGGCCAAAAACCAAACTTCTGCAAATGCGATCAGAATCTTATTTTTGCTCCAAAAAATGAAACCTCAGAAAGTTTAAAGCCAATGAGAATCGGTTTACGGGTACCTCTCATACAAAATTGTCGAAGTTTTAGTCAAAGTCACCAATTTTTCAATTTATTTTTATTATTATATTTTCACTGCCTTTGTTTCAAGAAAATTCACAAAAAATAACCAAAAGTTCCTACGGACAACGCAGGCCAACGGTAAGGAAAAGTTCGGGATTACCAATGTAATTCTTTTTATTTATACTTGATTTTATGATTTGATCGAAATATCTTTGGAAAAAAAATCATTCTTCACTATACGCTCAATATGGCTACAGAAAAATTATTTTGATTATTATTGCTATTGTGGAAAATACCTTTTCAGAAATTCTGATATAATTGGTAGTAAAATTTTCTTCAGTAATAATTATAATTTCGTTGACGCAAAAAAACTGAACGTGTTTGATGGAGGCCGAAATATCGCAAAATGTTTGTATTGTGATTCTAATTTGGGTGGATTCTGCTATTACCCGGACCGAGAAGTTAACATCATCGTACGTTTTTGTCGTAAATTGCAGAGCTCTCATTTTGTATATTGCTATATCTGGAACTAGAAGTGGAA